CGCCCCGCTCGCTCCGTCTCTCCCCGCCCCGCGCGCGCGCTCCCGCACACGCGCACTCGCGGGTTTCCCCCTTCGCCGGCCCCCTCGGCCCCTCGCGCGCGGGCGCGTCCCCGCACGGGCGCGCGCCCGCCTCTCCCCCCCCCCCCTCCGGTGGCAACCCCCCGCCCCCCCCCGCGCGCTCCCGCCGCCCCCCCCCCCCCCCCCCCGGAAAAACACCGGTACGAGCGAGCGCGGGCGCGTCCCCGCCACCGGGAGCGAGCGAGCGCGCCCCCGCGAGACCGGCGGCGGCGGCGGCTGCGGCGGCGGCCACGTAGCGCTGCGGCGGCGGCGGCCCCGGCCCGCGGAGAACGAGGAGGAGGAGGAGGAGGAGGAGGAAGGGGGAGCTCGGGGGCCGCGGCGGCGGCGGCAGCGCCTGGGCCCGAGCGCCGGGGCCCCGGCCCCCGAGGCGGGCGCTCGGAGCGGAGCGGAGCGGAGGAGGGAGCGAAGGCAGAGAGGGAGCGAGGGAGGGAGGGCCCCCCGGCCGCCCTGCCCTCCGCCCTCCGCCGCCGCCGCGCCCGCGCCCCCCTCCCCGCGGCCGCCCGGCATGGACGGCGGCGGGGGCGGCCCCGGGGGCACCGGCCTGGGTGAGTGCGGGCCGGGGGCGTGCGGGGAGCCGGGGAGGGGGGGGTTGAAGGCAGAGCTCGCAGCCGCTCCACCGGCCGGGCCGGGCCTGGCGGCGGGGCCGAGCCGCGCTAGGCCCGGCCTGGGGGTGGGCGGTGGAGGGACGGCGGGGCCCGGCCGGGAGGGGACGGGGGGGCGGGCAGGGCACCCCGGGGGTGCGGGGGACACACGGGGGGACCCCCCTGCGGGAGGAGGCGGCGGGGATGGCGCGGGGGGTCCCCCCCGTTCGGGGGCTGCCCCTCGGTCCGGGCTCTGCCCCGGGCTCGGGGGATGCCCCGAGGGCCCCGGGGGTCTCTGCCCCTCACCTGCCCGGGGGAGGGCAAGGCAGGGCGAGGGGAGACACTCCCGTTCCTAAAGGATTCCCCGTGCCGGACCCTCTGCCCCCGCGGGGGGTCCCGGGGGCACCGCCGGCCCCGTCACCCCGCCGGGATTTTGGGCCGGGGGCTGTCGGTGAAGGGGATGAAATGTGTCAATGAAATGTGTCACCTGGCGCGGCCGCGGGTTCCGATGGAAAATCAGGTGTCTTCTCTCATCCTTGGGGTGTTTCCCCCTTCCCTTCGCTCCCGTGCTGCGGGCTCGCCCCAGGGGGAGGTTTGATTTTTTTTTTGGCGTGATTTTTGGCCGCCTCCCGAGCAACTTCGGGCTGTCCCGGCGCAGGTATTGTTGGGAGAGAAACCGGAGGAGGAGGAGGAACCAGGACCAGGCATCTCCCTGGGCTTTACCAGCGTTATTACATAAGGACCTTTAATCGCAGCCGAGTTTTGGCTCCTCGCGCGTGGAAGTGGCTTTGGGGCAGAGCCGTGGAAGGAGCACGAGGGATGCCAGGAATGTGCGTGTTTGGGGGCTCTGGGGGGCTGACCCGGCCCGTGTCGTTCCGGGGATGGCAGCGGAGGCTCGGGAGGGGCACGGAGGGGATGTGCGAGCCCTGCTTCGGGCAGGACCGGGGGCAGGATCCTGGATCGCTCCCCTTTGGGGTTGTGCTCGCTGTCTCTCTGGGTGTTAAAAGGGCTGTGGAGTCGCAAAAATCTCAATTTAAAAGGGGCTGGTGTTCGTGGTGTCTGATAATTTACTTTGCTGTTTGAAACCCCTTTATCTCTTTCTACCTGTGTGCAAGGTGCATTTTTCTCCCCCTCCCCTGCTTTGTAGAGATTAATCAGGCACTTGCTGGATGAATGAAGAGCCCCATCCCTGCCCCGGGCAGCCAACCCTTAAATTCAGGTGTGATAATAAAGTTGTGATCTAAACTCGCCATGGAAATGTGCAGTGGAGGGACAGAAATTTTGAGGGCTCTGCCAGAGGAGGGTGTGTTTGAAAGGAAAGTGCAAAATCATGAAGGCTTTTAATTTCTCTAGCTAAGCAATTGCATTTAATAGGTGCCAGAGAGTTAAGGTTTTTATTTATAATTGTGTCTGCTGTGTGGTGACTCGTATCTGTAGTTGCAGTAACTGAGGTTTGGGACCATCACTAAATGATCTGTGGCTTATATTGTGTGTTTGTAGAAATGCCTTTCAAATACCTGTGTGATCAAAAGGGACTTTGGCATTTTAAACTATTGTGAGTTTGTTTTAAAGGACTTAATTGACTGTGTTACTGTTTCTTGTTTAATGCTGATACAGGAAGCCTTTCACTGATGGTTTCTGGAGAGTTAATTCTTCAACAATTCTGTATGAAGGGTCAGGTGTCCACAGAGGGGCTAAATTATAAATTCAAAAAATAAATTACAAAAGTAGTTTGTCAGGGGTTTTTATAAGTGCAAACTATTGGGATATTCTGATTTTATTCTCTCTGGCAGAACCTTGGAAGGTGGAAATTTCAGGCTGAGAGGAGCAATTTCATCCAAAGGTTGGAGGTCTTTCTGTGTACAAGGAATTGCTTGTGGGTCAGAGCACCTGGAGCATGAGATGTCCATGCAGGAAAGGCTTGGGAAAACTCCTCTGATCTCCTCCAAGTGCATGAAACAGCCCTTTTGAGTAAACAAGATGCCATCAGTGCCTGCTGGAGGAGGGATGTGCCAATATCTGAGATAGGCACAGGTGTATTTAAGGTGGTTACAAAACTCCCGTCTCATCAGTGACCTATTTCTGTGTCACAAAATGGGCCTGATCACAGAAGAAAGTTATTTCTGACCCCACAAAAAAAGAGAGATATAATTGGAAGAAAGCACCAACCAATTAAGGAGATTGATATGTTCTCTGACCACCTGATTCTGTGGATAATTATTGCATTGAAATATTTTCTGACCGTTCCCTGGGTTCAGTTCCTCCAGCACAGAACAGCTCAGTGTGTTCAGCTGTGATCAGTTCTCTCCCTGCAGGGTCCAGGTCTTGGCTTCTAAATGGGAGATGAAAGAAATTTTAAAGAAGATAATTTTACTTTTTCAAACAATTCTGGTTTACATTTTGCTAAATATGTGCTACTTGTCTTTTCAGAATCTCATTATGCCAGAAGTTGGGTTTTTTTTCCCCCCCAAAACTTAGGAGGAAAAAATACAGATGCTGGGATATTCTGCTTTTATTCTCTTTGACAGAATATTGGAGTGTAAAAATACAATTTTTTTTATGCAGAGGGCATTTTATTCTCCTGAAATTGTGCCCTTTAAATATTAATGCAGCCCATGAGCAGATACTGGTTCCAGTTGACTTCCCCCT